AAAAGTATGCAGTCCACTGCATACATTCCACTTCGGCGCAACACTTCCACGTCTGCAACTCTGTCGTATCAGCCAATGCGCAGTATCCGTTTCGAACACAGTTGATGAAAGCGCTCGAGATATCGCATATCTCGCCGGTACATCGTCCACGTTCCACTGCCGCATAGAAGAACAGAGAGCACCATGCATTGGTACACCATCAGGTTCGTGCCAATGGAAAACTGGTTGTTGTTCCACACTTGGTGCTCACGCTTCCCGAATGCCGCCGTTGCCTTACACACGGATACCAAACTCACTGTGTATCTGTTGGTCAGTCGAAACTACATTCCCAAGGTAGCAGAAGCGGGAGGTGGTTTTCAATGCTTCGCCAGCAATGCTGAATTGCAGCAATGTTGCAGCTTGCACCATCTTACGTATCCGCTTACGTAAAACAAATATAATTGCTTTGGAAAATGTTCAGCGCTCCTTTAGCAAAATGCTTATGGGGCGCACATCATCGCTTACTTATGAGGAACGATGATCTTACCTCCAGCTCGACCCACTCTGGCTTCGGCAGCTGAAAAGCAGCCCCCTAATATTGGTTGAAGGGTCATGTTGAGGTACTCGTGAGTGACTAGAGTGCAACGCGTAATCTCATTGTGCACCGTACTAGGCATTAAAGTGAACCTAGGACAATTCGGTCATGAGGACTGTAGCGCCCCGCGCAGCAATCCCGAAACCAGTGCCCCGAAATGACCCTTCAAGCAGTCATTAACAGTTGTGACAAGCGTCGCCGGTCTTGACGTGGCAATATTACTCTTCTCCACTGTATAATATACTCACGAGTATTCTCAGCCAATAAGCAGTCGCTTTACAACATGGCTCAAACTATCCCACTCGTAATGGAAAATGTCTACTATTCTTACAGAGAACTTAGTGAGGTCGGCCTGTCTGTGGAATAAAGTACTGTTGCAATTAAGCACCAGCAAGAGGCTGTCTACATTTAAATCTCAGTTAGACACTTTTTTCCTTGGCAAATGTGGTCAAACTCTTCGACCATCAGAAATTCACGAGTGTACTCATAGAATTCGGCCAGGAAAATATGACGATATTACGTTTCAAATAATGTTACTTATAATATACACAACAAAACATTGCATTACTGTTTTATATGGAATGCAAATTTGTATGAGAACTGTTGACGAAACAGGCCGTAAACATGCTCGTTCGATAAAAGGGAAGGTATCCCGTCCGTCGGGTAGGATACCCATTTATTTAATTGTAGTTGACACGAGCATCAGTGCCACAGAAAATAATGGGTATAACATACTATTATGCTCAGACAAAATTATAGGACAATTTCCGTAGATCGGTATTCGGGTAAAAGTACCTATATTGTTAGTGCAAGCAATTCGTGCACAAATAAATTAGATATTAGTCTGTGCAAAACAAATAATCGTGACCTAATAAAGAGAAAAGCGAATTTTGTGCAGGTGTGGAAGTGGACGCACTTTTACGAGTCAAAGCAACGATATTTTGGTAATTTGGTTAAATCACGGACCCACTTACCCACACGCTACTGTTAGGTACTAATATTCGAAGATGCAAGGGTAAAAAGAGAATGTGGGCGCAAACATTGTTAATAAGCATAAAAGTGTAGCAAACACTTTTTACATAGAGAAGAATAAACCTTTGCCAAGTTTTGTCACTTTGTCCTAGGCAAATAAAATGTTGGCACTTTGTTGACAAGGTGCGCACCGCAGTTATCTATTTCGTTCTTTGCTTGTTGCGATACCATAATCTATTGCCTGTATTTGCAATGTTCACTCAGCACCATTAGATCACGCACCGGGCTCCGATGGCTGGGCCGCGTGTCCTGCATGCCAGCACATTGACTCCCGCGAGGTGCATTGTTTGTGCGCCGGGGGTACAGTTGGAAGAGAAGGAGGGGAGGCCGAGGGATGACTTGGTTAAAAAAATGAAGATCCTCACTTGGGAGTTGGCTTCGGTTGGTGCATCCCGACTGCCTAGCTGGGGTCCTGAGGATAATGAATACGTTTGGTTGGACACACTTGCTGATACGACAAAGAGCCAGCCCCAGCAGCGTGCGTGTTGTGGGTATCTTTATCCAACCGCCCTTTTGAATTCCCATTCCAATTTCGATCTCATAGGAAATACATAAGATAATATGTAACACCATAGTGCTAGCTTTTGAATCTTTTTGTAGTGCAACATTTTTGTATCTTATCTTTCTGTATTGCGGCACATTAGCTGCGGTATATTTTTTACCCTGAACTAACGAGGATTGATGATGATGTGTAACAAGAGGATGCATATGCCGGAAATATGCCGGCGATTGAGATCTTCATATGAAAGGTTAAGTTATCAATCAATAAATCACACATTTGCCGCTCCTAAAGTCCTAGAAAGAGTAGTCAAGAAGAATGTTGCCCTTATACAACTGGGCCTGTTCAATCTTCCATGATATGACTTTCTCTCCAAGCGTACTTGTGTTATCTGTCAGTGACACTTTTCAAAGTACGTTACGCCTATGATAAGCAGAGGAATGGCAGTCATCATAATTTGCTTGGACATGCAAGAGACATTCGACCGTTTGTCACACAAGCCGGTTTTTTGTCTACGGCATTGATAATCCCTCTGTTAAGTTGGCTTGATTCCTACCTAAACAATCAAACCCAAAGAGTCAGAATAGTCCAGCAATACTCGAGACAAAAATAAATAACCAGCCGTGCCTTCCAAAGCAGTGTGCTTGGACCACTACTTTTCCTAGTCCACGTAAAGAAAATATGCGACGCCATAAACAGGAACGTTCATTTTTCCTGAAGATGACTTTAAACAGGTCTACTCATTTCAACCCAACAAACTATAAGGGTGCCATGGAAAACATACCAGATGACCTATCGTCACTGAATACCTCCGGTAAATGTCTGTTAATGAAATTCCCCTGCAAGAAAATCCAAAGTACTTGGATATAGATGTCGCATCCCGGAAGACTCTACCATGCTTGCCAATAGCGTGATCCCAACCTCTTATTCGGTTTGGGACTTGGAACTCAGGTATTCCAAATTCAATGAATCACGGGCTATGCTGGTCTCTAGTAAAGCAACTATTCTCATTTACTTAATATGCATCATTATCACAAATAATTTCAGCGTGAAGAATTCCTTTCGGAAAATCCTCATCCTGAAGTGCTTTCTGATATTTATTCATATTAATGAGCTGGGAATATTTGTTTTGCTGAAGACCAGCATTAGCTGTGATTCACTAAAGCTCTTGAATGAGTATCCGAATTCCAATACTCGGCTGGAAGAATGTAGGGTGGAATTGAATGTCTTCAATGAATGCGTACAGGGATGTGGCTATCCCAAGAACTTTTGGACGGAAATACGGCGGTGTGGCTTCTACTCAAACGCAAATGTAAACGTTTGGGTCTGATGAGATTTTACCAAAAAAACACTTCACGCTGAAGTGATTTCTGATATTGATTCATATTGATATGCCAAATTCTTCAATCTATCTGAACATTTACTTTACTAATTCGTAAAAGTTAAACCACTCTCAGGGTAGATCATCAAACATCTCTCCATACCAGAAACAAGAGTTAAGTTATTCAAAATTATCTTGAATCCTACTCTGGAGTCATTATTATCGTTACGCACGTAATGCATAGGTGGAAAATACTTTAGCTGTTATGCCGCAATATATAAGAATAATAGCTTGTAACAGAGGCACGCCAACTTAATCAACAGTAACGGATGAGCATCGTTCTGGAGAGTCAGCAGCCGGCTATTGAACCGCGAAATACTATGTATGCCCAGTAAGTTGAATCGCAGTTGGAAGTTGGTGCTAAGAGGGAGGGGAGGGACAAATAAACGCACAACATAAAGCCAATGGGGTCCGCTTCTAAGCATGTAAATAAATGCATCCATCCAAACGTGTTCATTGTCTGTTGGACCATAAGCAGGGGGTGGAGAGTCTCCAAATGAGGCCAACCTGAAACTAAGAGCCTTTATTCTCTTTACCACGCAATCGCTTGATTTCTAAAGTATTGCACCACAATTTACAACCAATTAAGAAAGACAGTACAACTCCGGAAAATAACCAACGTTCATTTAACAAGCTGGTAATGGGGCGGTGCTTAACATTGAGTTACTATGCTTGTTGCTGCCACCTCTGAATGAATCCCTTATGGTTAAGACGATTGAAAAAATTCCTCTTCTACTCAACCTCATAAATAAGCGGATTTCCACGGACAGTACCGCCATCGATATACAAGAAACCCACCCATAGTGACGGCTGCTAGTTGCTCTCACAGCCTGCTAGTCATAAAACCCTACTGACTTCCTTTTTAGTGCGATACGCTAATCAATAGAACCGACTACCACCACAAGTACGCACGAGTGCTAACTATGGCACGTTCCGAAATTATCTAAACGTTCCTCAATATCCCGAATGCGCTAAAAACACATGCAAAACATGCACCGAAAACATTGCTGGTAGCTAATTTGAACAACATATGAACAGCCAATAGCATACAGTCAGCCGACCTTCTCTGTCATTACTCATAAAACAAAATGTGTGTCTGTGCAGTGTGTTCTGTCCAACCCTAATTATGACTGCTCCAGAGTTTCGCCACCTAGAACATTTGTAAACAGGAGTGGGAATATGCGCACATTTTGCATTTTTAGCGGTCAGATCGGTGATTCGAGGAAAATTTCATGAGCCAAAATTATATATTTTTGTCTTTAATTACGATAATTTTAGCCACGTAAACCATGATATTACTATTTTGTACAAGGGATCGCTTCCTCTTAGGGACCATATATCACTTATCAATAAATATAATTTATTTATTTATCCTAAAGGGGCTATCAATTCTCTTGTCACATGGTATCATAACCGCTGAGTAATAACGGACTTAAATACGTTCTACAACATAGGAAACGATCGAAAACGCATATGCAGAGAAGGGGATAAGATAGTAACAACAGTCTTCTTACCATTACTGAAGGGCGGATCATGGACTTCATGCGCTCAAGCCATTCACGCTTCATTGGGGCCACATGATCCGTATCGATCCCGTTATATATATAATAGTAATATTTCTAATGTGTAAAACAGCGAAACGAATGCTAACCAAAATAGATTTTTCTCTAGTAGCTATCGAGGTGTACGGTTCCGAATTCCTTAGATTGTCAGGTTCTTGGACTACTTCGAAAACAGAAGCGTCTTCACCTTTCCTGTATACAAAAAGTTATCGTTCAAAATGCGTTACTTACATAATTAATTCAACTAGACCTCTTCTGAAGGATTCATTTTGCTTTCGCGATGTAATTGATCCATTAGGTCTGGCGAAGGACCTCCGATTATTACGAACTGTATCTGCATTACAAAATCAGGCATACCAAACCTAGAACCTTACTGCGTTTATCTAACTCAGTTAGAATGTCAATACCAGGTTCAATGCTCAGTAGCTTGGAAGTGTTAAAATCAAATTTTGGAGAGGCTTGATTCCACATAGGTTGACGGTGAGTCCCGTCAAACGTGGGAAGTAAAAAGTTGGGCGTATACGCCCCCTTGTGTTTTGGCCTATTAGTCTGCAGGACGTGATTATTTGAAATATTTACCATGTCACAGTATGTACATGCTACAATCTACACTGGAAAGCAAGCCCGGGCAACCATATTCAAATATGTAATCTGCGCGTTACTAATGCACTCCACTTTTTCAAGCCATATAAACAACAGTTCTGTGTTAACACATGGTATGATTAATAGCAATCACAGCTCAAAAACATTTGTTTGCTATATGAAAACGTTTAGGGTTGGTCTAAGCCAGGTCAGCTCAAGTCTGTTTTCATCGAGGATTTAAGCGCCCAACCGACGAGCCTCTTGCTTTAGTATTGAGTGGCAAAACCGACAGCCCGCAGTTGTAAGTTTTGAGTGATTCTACTTGCGTCTGAAAATCTGTCGGGTCAGAGAAGGTGCACTCCGCTTTCATGGAACACTCATAGTATTCAAAAGACAGTCATTAGCTTATTTGATTGTAAAGAGCAGGAGGAAAGTCCTTTGTCAGCTCCTTCAGTTTCGGATAATTGCGTGGAAGCCGTTATGGAGCGGTATTCCACAACGGGTCATAATAGCTTCATTGGAAGTATCAAGATCCCAGCTTACTCACCAGGTGAAAATCCAAAGTCGCTTGAAACTCCTCACTTTAGGCGTCGACCACATGTTTCGGCAGGTTGTTCCAGTCACTTACAACTCGTTGATAGAGCGAGAGCGGAGCGAACTCTGTGTCTTCTGGGGTTAAATAGTTTCTAGGTGTGCCTCGAATTTAACGTTGGTGTTGATGTGGATGAACGCTTGGATTCGCCTAGTAAAAATCAGGCCACCTCTACGTCGACGATATTCTACGGAGTACAGGTGCATTCATGGTAGTCAAAGAGAGTAAGGCAACTCCCGTAACTTCAGTAGGAATTTGGAAACACATTGCCGGACCTTCTCAATCAAGTCACATTGGAACCTGGTAAGACTACAGGTGGCGGGATCAGGTGCACATAAGATTCAATCAGGATGCTGAAGGTTTCCGGAGTAGGCCGCGAGAAGGCACTCAGTATGGTATGAGCCATTCAGTTTGCAGCGGCAAGCCTCCATACTGTCTTCTGTTGTCTGTAAATCATCTGACAGAAGTGAAAGGAGATCCCTCTCAAGTAAGGTGGTTCTGAGTAAGACCCATCAAGACGGTATGTCCTGAACGGCTCAAGGGCGCCTATGAGGTGAACTGAGCATATTTCACATTTCATGGGTAATCGCCGCTTGACGGACTACTCGGGTGGCCTGTCCAATGATGTCTGCAATCTGTCAGCACTCTCGAGACAAGCTACCTTCATCCCCAGTTTCAGGTCATCGACGTAAATCTGGCAATCGAGCTGAAGCTCTGACGGGAGGTCATTGATGAATACCTTTAATAATTCTGGACCAAGTACGGACTCATGTGGAACATCGCTAGTCATCAGCACAGGAGCGGAGTAGGCTTCCTTCACCTTGACTGGCATGCTCGGACCATCCAAGAAAGCAGCGAGCAAAGAAAGTTCATTCACAGAGACACCGGTAGCTAGGAGTTTAAAAAGGAGCCTTTGATTGGGGCCTTTGTCGAACCCCTTGATAAAGTCGGCAACAACAACAGCCAAGTGTTTGTCAGCACTTTACAACTTCGCCCACTTCCCCTAGCGACAAACAGGTTCGAGGTAACTGAGGGGGCAAGCGGAAAGCTAGGTTGAGCACAAGAGATGATGTTCAGTTCTCTACGTGGAGACGCGGAGTCCGTTTGAGCATCCCTTCCATTAACTTGCACAGTGCAGACGTTAGGTGGATTGGATGATATTTGTCAGGATCTTGACGTTCCCATCCTTTTGTATAAAGGTTTACCGGTCCCCAATTTCTAGGCAATCAGAGTGTCCTTCAGCTTCAAGGGAGTGACGAAATGGCTGACAGACGGAGCGGCGGAGTAGTCGACCACAGTCTAAAGGAACAACGTGTGCAGCCCGTCAGGATCCGGTAAGGAGTTTGGTGCTAATGCACGAAGGCCTTTGAAAACGTCATCAACACACAAGTTTACGTACGGCAACGGTGAGGGTTGGATTGGCGCAAAATCACCGGCTAATGGCGTCTTTTTCGAGTAGACTGGCTTTCGCAGCACCAACATCAAGTAAACTTAACTGCTCTGAGGAATACTGGGTAGGAATGCCGCTGCCAGCATGATACTTCTTTTCCGGTAACAATAGAGGGCCTTCGGTGTCGTCCTGGATTGCATAGCGAGACTACGTTTTTACTGATGCCGTTTCTGACGGTCCTTGAAACAGTCATTTATGATCAAGTTGTGCTCCGGATAGTCAAGCGTGCAGTGAGGGAACTTGAATCGGTCCACTAAGTTACGTCTTTTGGTCATTAATCCCCTAAATATCGGTCTATCCATGAAGGGCCTCTGGGAAGCGTTTGCATATAGGAACACTGCACAAAAAGCAAAAGCATCTTGCAGTAAAATTGGTTGTACTCATCATATTGGTCCATTGGTTGAATGATAGTAAAGGCTACGGCAATAGCAGCCTTTAGCATGCGGATTGGATCGGCAAGGCAGAAATTTCTACGAAAACTATCTGGTTATGGAGAGTGGGGCGTCGAGTCCTTAGGAATGAAACCGCACAGTGGTCACTCCCACCAATAGCCAGAAGAAGCGTTATATCTGTGATATCTGGTTTCGCCGCGGAAAGCACGAGCCCGGGACTGCGGGGTGTTTGTCCACTATGTATACGGGTAGGTATAGGAACACGTTGAAATAGGTTACACTCGAGAAAGTTTTCCAAAACTGCAGCGGAAACGCCTGAAGTAGCGCAATGCAGTAAAGCGCAGTCGACCCCTGGGTATTGAAGTCGCCCATGGATAAACAAGCCTTCCCCCCATGCATTTACTCGAATCAATCAGATAAGCCCCAGAACCCAATGAAGCGCTGTAGACAACACTGATCACCGGCGATCTGCATGCACCATGATCCCGGCATCACAGCGCTCCGAAGCCACCATTACCACCCCAAGTAGTTTTAAATAGATGTGCCTTGAAGTCCGCACTTTAGTGCGGGATCACGCCGCCACCAGGTCGCAACCTGTGGGGGACCGCGCGGGAGGGATGATGTCCGGGGATTTGCACCCCCGAATCCAGCATATCCGAGGACAACCAGGTCTCGGCAAAAGCCCTTAACGCAGGGCGCTTCACTGGGGCAAAAGGTTAACTTTCATGGGTAAGCACGAGCAGTCCGTTCGTCAGACAACCTGAACTTGCAGGAGCCGTGCATTGATGTAAGAAAGAGTACCCTATAACAAGTTTAATTTGTCTGCTTGCCAGTTCACACGGCTCAAATGTTTTGGTTCGTTTACTGGAACGTTTATCACCTTTTAAGTTTATGGGCCGGCTTGATTCGTATTTGTGTAGGAAGGAGTTACAATATGGACGAACGTCGGGGAACCTTGGACTACCGTATATCGGTGATGCGCAGGGGACGTGCCACATACGGAACGATAGAAAATAGCAAGCAAGCTTGACTTAGCTTATAATGCGAAAGCAAGAGGGACAAACCACGTAATGCGCGCAGCTGGCAGAGTGCGTAGAGGATCTAAAAGCAGCAAAACAAGAAGACGGCCTGAGGTACAATTGTTAATGACATCCGGCGTTATGAGCTACTTGTCATAAGTGCGTAACGCCTGATAAACTTGTCACTGGCACAGTTGGAGCACGCTTACGGTAAGGGCCTGGAACGCTGATCAATCGAACGGATTTGCGCTGACCTGCTGGCGTTAACTTAGCCCGGGGTACGCACTAGTGAGACGAAAATTGAGCGGGCGTGAGAACGCTTCTAGCCGCACGGATTCGGGTAGACCCTGCGCTATCGAAACGGACGCAGACGAGAGGGTTAACGGTAGACGCGCGCTAGTGCCTGAAACGCGAAAGCTGCCCGGCTACCGACACACGGAAAAGCACGTGGCCGACCGACTCCCAACTACGGCGAAGCGGAGGAAAGACAGGTGATCCTCTGAAGGCTCTTTTACAACCAATCACAGCTAATACAATGGGTCAGTAAGTCATGGAACACTTCTACCACGACGGGGTGGTAGTTTGTAAAAGAACACTCCCAACGGATATGCATCTGGGCCAAGTCTCATGGTGGCTGAAATCTGTTGTGAAGGAATTGGACCCCGTTTTCCACATCCATTATGCTGGAGTTTCTGTCGCGTTTTACGAAGATATTTGACGGGCCCGCAACACTACTGAATTAGCACATTATTTGGGTGCCCTATAATGGTCTGTCTCTGGATGGCTGAATAATGAAAGCCTATCATTTAAGCCTCAAGTTGCGACACGCAGTTGGGTATAGATGTGAAGTATGACAAGGTGGCTTTGACACGGGATTCAACAACGAAATTGTGCATAGTAGGCTAGGCTCAGACTTTGTTATTTATCAGTTTGACGCGGATCACATCGCACCACCTGTGTGCAGTCGGTGCGGGCTCATAGGCTTACCAAAATTATTGTTGTTCTGGAAAGATTTCCGAAAGGACAGTTCCTCCGCTGCTGGCAGGATGCTTTTTAGGGTAGTCTTACTACCCCACTCCACCGCAGTCCACGGCAAATAAGATCCTCTTACCTCGGAGAAATCCGGCGTCCTCAACGTTATTAATTAGCAGCGTTGAGAGATCAATCCACTTTTAACCACTTGCAGTCAAGGGAGATTGGCTCTCTTCGGGATCAGGGATGAAGCCGGAATCTGTTGGCGTGTAAGTTGAGGATGAACTTAGCTGCCTGGGTGATTAAGAATTCGTAAAGTATAATAAAATGTTGTTATTCAAAGTGCCATAGCCGTGACTCGGCTCCAAAGAAGAACCTGCTATACAAGTTTTCTTGATTTTGAAGAAGGTTGATGGATGAAACTTAAGCTAACCTCCAAAAGCGAAAAACAATTGTGCTAACATAAATAAATAACGGTCACTTAATCTGTAAAACTGACAAGGCACCAGGTTTCGTTTCCGCATCGGTCAGGTTAAGGCCACGTCGGCGGAGAGATAAGGGAATTGTAAGGTCCGGATTTTTCAGTACTGGAGAAATAACCGCAGGTGCGTGTGCTTCTGAGATCTACCTCGGAGGCACTGGAATTAGATCAT